CGGCTCTAGCTGTCAGCAACAGCAGCAGCAGCTCCAACCAGCAGGCCTCCAGCTCCAGCCAGCCAAACATCCTCTCGCCAGCAGCAAAGATATGCGATAAAGTGTCCTTTTCAGGGCAACAATTCTCACAGGTTACAAAACTGTCCTTTTCAGCACAAATACTCTTCAACGCTGTTCTCACCCTCTACACATGAACATGCAGAGAGAGTTTTATCTCGTGCGCTCTGAACTTATTTTGTCGATGTATTTTCTTTAACGAAAATAAACTTTTTACTCAAGTCTTCGTTTTCTTGTTGTCTTTCCGTCATCCAATATCTGTGGGCTACCACATCCGCAACACTGCGTATGACACAAGGTTAAATATGCGGAAATGAGGAGAGAAATATTGTTCTACTCTCACCTGACAAGTAGGGAGGGTTAACTTGGCATAAAAATCAGCGTTTAAAATTATGGCCTTTATCTGGACTCGAACACCAGAAGAGAATACGAACAAATCGTTTTTGTTCTTTTTTTTACGTTTCCCTGTTTCTTTTCTTCTTCTGTCGCCTTCATCTTCTTCTTCTTCTGTCGCCTTCTGTCGCCTTCTTTAGTTTTTCTTTTTCCCATCTTTCTTCCTCTTCTTCCCACCGATGTCAAGCCTTTTCTAATAATAAAGTTTATTTCGATTTGAATTAATCTATTCACACTTACCTCCCCTGAATGAATCTTGTAGACGAAACAAAGTGACATATCATGCACAAGGCACTTGTCAATTAACGCCTCATTTCCTCCACTAGTTTTCCGCGCACCTTAATATGTGGCGCCATCGATAAGTGACATGCGCTCTACAGATTTGATTTTGTAGATGGACAAAAATAACTGCCATATCACACAAGAACAAAAGACCCCTTTACGATTACGGTTAGTCTAGCGTTTGTTAATTGAGCGCTCACTTCGTTTGCGGAAAAATAGGAAGGGTGAGCCCTCGGACTCCCGATTCACTAAAATGAAAGGACTCTTTCTCTCTCTCACACTCGTGCACAGTCTCTCACACATACACTTACATATTCTCTCTCTCACACACACACTTACATATTCTCTCTCTCTCACACACGCATATTCACTTTTTTCACACACTGGTACACTCTCACCCTCCCACTCACACACCACACACATTGTGATTTAGTATAAACATAATTGATAATTTGTTTTACACTAATAATTAAATAATTAAAGATAAGGATAATTTCAGTTTCCAATGCATACATACATACATATATATATATATATGTGTGTGTGTGTGTGTTAAAAAGTTGCATGCTTCTCAAATCTTTCACTCACCAATTTCCAGTCAATTTAATGTCAAACAAATAAGATTTGGGCAACGTTCCACTTTAATGACCTCAACAACCCCCCACCCCAAATTTATGAATTAAAAATCTTTTAATATTTATTCCTTTATAAATTAGTAAACGATAAACATTAAATTGTAGTTGGTTCGTATATTTTTTATGTAAATATAAAATTATTCTTGTAAATAAAAAAAATCTAATAAATAAATAAATAGTGTTTAATATTTTTGTTGTCAATTCCCAAGAGCAAAAGAAAAAAAAATCAATTTCGTATCTTTAAGCTTTATTAAAATTCTAATCATCATTTTTTGAAAAGTATAAATATTGCCAAGGAGTGAAGGCAGTTATAATAATAGCGGTGTCAATTGAAAAACTGTGTTGCGTTTGCAGCTAAGTCCAGACACCAGTTTCGTTGATAGGGTGCAGCTTCTTTCAGTCAAAAGCGTGTGGCTTAAATATTACCCTACAGCCAGGGTGTTATCCACGAATGAAGAACAAGTCAATTTCTAGCAGTAAACCAGATTATATTTTTGAGTTGTAATCTACTGCTATAAGCGAGCGAAATAAAGATGGGGCGTAGTTCAGTGGGGGGGGGTGTACAGTCTAACTGCTGTCTTTCCTGTCCGTTCTGCGAGGCCCGCTTCGTTGCTTCTGTGTGTCTTTTCGAGGAATTATCAGTTTTATGGATAACAATTTCCTTTTTCTCATCATTGTTTAATAAAGTAATTAATCTTCCTTTCGTGACTTTCTCTGAGTCTGAGCCTCTTGCTCTGTACTCTGAAGTTGACTTCACTTACTGATAACCACCACTCAAAAGTAAATGTTCTGAATCGATTTTTGCGACAGTTCCCGCTCACTGTTTTCGATTTATCAAGACCTCAGCTGACTCATATTGCTACATTCGTTTATTTTTTTCAGACAAAACGATTAAATATTACCTAAATTGTTTTTATTTTTAGGGTTTTTAGGGTTCACTATTGTCATTAGAATCAATTTATTACTTTTCATTTGTAAGAAATGACACGAACTAATCATGACTTTCAGAAATGTACAGCGCGCAAGAAAATAACCGTTAATTCTTACAATGCCAATATATATATATATATATATATATATATATATATATATATATATATCCATTAAGGGAAATGTTCAGATGAGAAACTCACCTTCGTATTTCAAGTTGCCGTCAATGTTTTCTCTGATTTCAGTGAAATGAAGAATTTCATTCACTTCCCTGTCAGCCAGTCGTTCGCCTGTTGGAAAGAATCAATATAAAACTAACAGAAATCAACCAAGAAACGATATTTACTTTAGCAATAAAAACTTCCTTTTTCCTGAAAAAGCTGATTTCTAACGATCACAAAAGTAAAAAACACCGACAAGATTGTTCAATCAAATATTCGTTAGTTTTATAATGAAAATGACACAGATTTCGACTCAGATTTCTTTCATCTTCATTTCAATTGTTTTATTTACACTTTAAGTAGTGTTTAAATTATCTTTATTAGATAAAGCATCCGTTTTTGATAAAGTTGATATCTTTTTTTTAGATTAAATGTCCCCAGGAATAATGAAGGCATATTTGAGCGATACTTTATTAAATCTCCTAAAAACCTGCCACCAAAAATGAATGCGTTTTTTCTGAAATAAAAGCATAAAAAATGTTAAACCGTTTTTATAAAATTCCTCAAATCTGGAAATTATTCGTTTTAAACGAAAATTTCAGTATTTATTCATTAATGTTATTAAGATTATTTTATTAGAAAACTTTGTGGATTTTTTGGCCTGGTTGGGGCGTAATTTTCAGTCCCCTTTCGATATCACATGTGTATTTTTTAATTTTGGAGATTTGGGGGTTCTTTTACAGTTAAAGGCAAATCCCTGAAGATATTATTTCAGTAAAAAATAAAAAATAAAAAAAATAATAACAAATATACAATATCACGTGTGCAGATACTGAATATTCCTCCAGAACATTACCAAAAATAATTCCATAAAGCTAAAAAAATATTTTAAAAGTTGGTGTTTTCATAATTAAATAACTCACACTATTTTCTTTCAGATTGAACAAAAAAGAAATTTACATTGAATATTTTATGTAAAAAAAACATTACATGTCATTTTTCAGTGCGATTTTGAAATTCATCTCTTTGTTGTTCATCAGAAAAGTTTTATTTAATAAATAAAAATGTATTTGAAGAATCGATAAATGTTTAGTTTAATGCTATTTTCATGTGTGAACATTGTTTAAAAAGATTTATTTTTATGTTTAGATTGTACGGATGTTCAAAAATGCAATAATTCTGTAGCTGAAAACAGTTAACAGTATCAATTCAATAAGACTTTATCAGCCCCTTTCATTTTTTTTTTTTTTTTTTTTGTAGTACTCCCTTTAGTTTAATCATTTTAAAATTAGAACAAATGAAAAACACCACATTGGATGGAATTCAGTTTTTGATGACATCAAAAAGGGAAGAAAATAAAAAAAGGAAAGAAAAAAAGGAAGAAAAGAAAAAAGAAAAAAGGGAAGAAAATAACAAAAGCAATTCAACTGAAAAGCATCGTTTAAGCAATTATTCATTTCTTTTTGAAATTTTTTCTAATGTAGAATATAAAGTCAAATGAATTCTAAATTTCATAAAAGCGTATCGAATAAAAAGTTATATTCTTAAAATATTGGTTTATAAGTTATAGATGATTCATTTTTAAGTATAAACAAAATCAATTTTCAGATTGTAGTCCTTTTGTTCCTTCGTACTTTAAAAAAAATTACCGTTTTTAGGTAACAGAGTATTTTGGGAAGACTATGTTTGTTGATATTGATGACAAAAATAGGACATTATGTGTAATTAAGTATTATTTCGCTAGGTTTTGAGAAAAAATTAAGCATTACTTTTGCAAAATTCATGTAATTAATCTTTAATTTACTAATTTGCTTTTAAAGAAATCTCTAGGACTTTTAAGAGATTTTTAATTAAATGTGTTGTTTAAATTTTTCGTCTATAATGACGCTTCTATGAGTCAATCAGTGACGAGGGACCGTGCCAATGTTTTAATAATGCTTGAAAACTTTATTTTCATATGTAAATTTAATTGCTTTTTTTTTACGGATTAGCTTTAGGTTATTATCTTTCAAATAAAACGAAAATATAACTTCAAAAATTACATTTTTTTATTTAAATTATTTAAAATGCGCTTTTCTTTTCTTTTTTCAGGAAGCCCATGGATGTACGTACTTATAAAATAAATAAAAGAAAAACAAATTGTTTGAAAAAAAAATAGTATATTTTCGATTTAAATGTATATATAATAATAACAATGCAAGGGAAGTAATTCTGCCTTGACTATAAATTTTTGTATGTAGCATGTTTGTTTTAAGTAACTGACTGACGAGGCAGATTTTTTTGACTGGAATTCGAAGACGAGAGTATTATTAATATCTCTCATCTTAACACTTTTTCAGTTACTCTATTGCTTTATTTTAAATTAAATTTATGTTTGTCTCTTGGTTAACTCCAACTAAAAAATCATGCGCACTTTCGACAGGTGAAAAATCCCCGAAATCCACTGTTTTTAAAAATTTACCAAAAACCTAGGAACTATAGGATTCGACTGAAATTTTCAGCATCTATTCATTAATAAATAGTTGGAGAAAGAAAAAGAAAGAGAAAGAGAGTATGTTATAGGGGATTTATTGGGAAGTATGGGGAGAAGAAGGTACCGTTACTGGAATTATATTATGGAGGCAGGAGAGCCTGGATAGGGGGGGGAGGTGCTCTTTTGTGAATCAGTTTTAACATATTTCAAATTCTATCTTAACAGGACTCGCCTGGATTATACCAACGGATTACTACCTATATATATATATATATATATATATATATATATATATATATATATATATATAAAATTTGTTACATTTTTCCAATTCAATTGATGTTCCCACTTTACTTAACTCATGGCTTTTTTTGTAATATCGATTTTTAAAGGTTTCTAATTTCTACATTTTTATAAAATTAAATCCCCGATGGATCGATATTAAGAAATTAATATCAAGTGTGGACATATCAAAAATCTGATTCGAAATCTTAAGATTTTAGTGTATCGCCACAGTTGAGAAGACGCCGCTCCGTTTTTTATAAACTGTATATACAACTAAGTATATTAATGTATTATCGTCTGTCGACCTGAATATTTGGGAAATCATATTAAAGAAAAAAAAATGCACCCTCAGGCAGGATTCGAATCTGCGCTGCCCTTAACAGGAGAAACCGCCATTAGCTCCAACGTGCCACGAAAGGTCCACTGATCGTGCAAAGCCGAATATGTTGGATTAATAGATAAAAAAAATCCATTACTTTTATATATATATATATATATATATATATATATATATATATATATATATATATATATATATATATATATATAATGGTGCATTATGGGTAGCAAGGTCTATTGTATTATCCTAACGGTTATTGGGTAGACGGTAACGGCTATGCTTCAAATTATTTTATAGGCCATTGAGTAGGAAAATTGTAGATCCGAATACAGTTATTTGTAACTCTTTTATAGTTTAATTATTTGTTGTTAATTATTATTATTATTATTATTATCATTATTATTATTATTATTATTATTATTATTATTATTATCATATTGTGTTTATCTGTACATTCGTTGTTTTTTAATTTGTTAACTATTTATTTAATTTGTTTATATATTTATTCAGACATTTTGTTTATTTTATTTATTTATTTTTCGCGGGTGTTGATTACCATTTTTTTTATCTTAAAGTATTGTCTAAAGTGTGTTGCATTATCTGCGTTGTACGGAGTGATTTGCATTTATCATGGTAGTATTTTACAGGGTATTCGTTTTTAGTTTCCGATTTTTAAGTATCGTAAAATATTTGTTTTCATGCCTGCATTTTGGGATATGTTCTGATTGTTCATTTAGTAATTTGTATTAGTCTTTGAAGGTGATTATAGTTATTTTCTCCCTCGGACAGAGTTTACAGTTTTTGGATTGTTGTAGTCTAATTTTGTTTACATTATTTTCAATGATACTTTTAGTGTAATTTGACTTATGTTTTTAATTTCTCATATATTTGACTTATGTTTTTAATTTCTCATATATTTGACTTATGTTTTTAATTTCTCATATATTTGACTTATGTTTTTAATTTCTCATATATTTGACTTATGTTTTTAATTTCTCATATATTTGACTTATGTTTTTAATTTCTCATATATTTGACTTATGTTTTTAATTTCTCATATATTTGACTTATGTTTTTAATTTCTCATATATTTGACTTATGTTTTAATTTCTCATATATTTGACTTATGTTTTAATTTTCATATATTTGACTTATGTTTTTAATTTCTCATATATTTGACTTATGTTTTTAATTTCTCATATATTTGACTTATGTTTTTAATTTCTCATATATTTGACTTATGTTTTTAATTTCTCATATATTTGACTTATGTTTTTAATTTCTCATATATTTGACTTATGTTTTAATTTCTCATATATTTGACTTATGTTTTTAATTTCTCATATATTTGACTTATGTTTTTAATTTCTCATATATTTGACTTATGTTTTTAATTTCTCATATATTTGACTTATGTTTTTAATTTCTCATATATTTGACTTATGTTTTTAATTTCTCATATATGTTTACAAGGGGTTGTGCTGTTCGCGTATTTACTATTTGTAAAGTATATTTCGTGTGCATAGTTTCTCTGTTTCAACGGTCCTTCAGTTACTCTAATGTGTATTTTCTCTTCGTTATCTGCTGATTTTACAGTCGCCTGGAATATATTACATTTATTTTTATATTTATATTTACATACGCTGTATATACGTTGATATTGAGAACTTTTACCTATAAATATAGAATACCTTAAAACTATATTTTTATCATATATATATATATATATATATATATATATATGTGTGTGTGTGAGAGAGAGGGGGAGAGAGAGAGTCAACGATATATATTCTTATATATCAAGAACAGTATTGTGGAAACTATATGACAAAGTGGAAAAAGTTTACTTGCGGCGCGTTTCCTTCTTGTGGACTTCATCGGACTAAATTTGTTATGTTGCTACCACTACACATGCGCACGAACGAGAGGTGCTGGGATTTCAGAATTTTTTTTAAAAAACTTATATCTAGCCGATTTCATTTAGAGAGTTTTTCTTTTTTCCGTCACTTTTGTTAGTAGGTATCCCACACT